ACTACATACAAAGGAAACATACAGCAATCATTTTAAGATCTGAACAATGTGATATCTTCCTGCACTATAATATTTGGAGATGTTAACACTCCATTGGCAGTACTAGACAGATCCTCCAAGCAGGAACTTAACAAACAAATAATAGACTTTAACAAAACCCTAGACCAAATGGAATTAACAGACATTTATAGAACATTTTATCATGATAAAACTGAATATATATTCTTCTCATCAGCCCATGGATCATCTTCCAAAACTGATCATATCTTAGGACACAAGGCTAACCTCAACAACTTCAAATGAATAGAAATTATCCCCTGTAACTTCTCAGACCATCATAGAATAGAAGCTGGACTTAATAGCAACAGAAATCTTCATACTCAAATAAAATCATGGAAATTAAATAATTATATGCTGAATGACAGCTGGGTCACAGATGAGATCAAGAAGGAGATCAGTAGCTTTCTGGAACAAAATTATAATGAAGCCACAAACTATCAGAACCTGTGGGATACTGTAAAGGCAGTCCAGAGAGGGAAATTTATAGCATTACATGCCTTCATCAGGAAAACAGAAAGAGGGTGAGTCAACAACTGAGATCCAGTTGCCTAATCTCAAGCAACTGGAAAAGGAAGAACAATTTAATCCCAAACCCAGAAGAAGAAAAAAAAAAAAAACAAAATTAGGGCAAAATTAAATGAAATTGAAAGCAAAAGAATTATTCAAAAGGTCAGTGAAACAAAAAGTTGGTTCTTTGAAAAGATTAATAAAATTAATAAGCCCTTGGCTAGACTAACCAGAAACAGAAAAATAAGATCTCTAATAACTATAATCAGAAATGATAAAGGGGAAATAAATACAGAAGCCACAGAAATACAAAAGATTCTCAACAATTACTACAAAAAACTCTATTCCCAGAAATATGAGCATGTAGAAGAGATGGACCACTAGATCCAGGAGATAGAAGCACAGTAGTTTACAAAACTCAGACAGAAAGATTTAGAAACCTTGAATAGACCAATGTCAAGCAATGAAATAGCATCAGTTATACAAAATCTCCCAAAAAAGAAAAGCCCTAACTTAGATGGTTTCACACCAGAATTCTATCAAAACTTCAAAGAGAAACTAATTCCTATAATGCATAAACTTTTCCAAAATATGGAGCAGTAAGGAATCTTCCCCCAACACACTCTAGGAAGCAAATACCACCCTGATCCCCAACAGGAAAGGACCTAACAAAAAAAGAAAACTATAGACCAATATCATTAATGAATATCTATGCAAAAATATTCAACAAGATATTAGCAAAAAGAATATAATGACACATTAAAAAGGTTATACACCAGGATCAAGTGAGTTTTATCTCAGATGCAAGGTTGGTTCAACATACATAAATGCATAAACATAATACACCACATAAATAGAATCAAAAACAAAGACCATATGATTCTTTCAATTGATGAAAATTGAAAGAACAGAAAAAGCTTTTGATAATATCCAGCATCCTTTCATGATAAAAACACTCAAGAAAATAAGCTTGGATGGAACATTCCTTAAACTGATAGAGGCAAACCCATAGCCAATATCATATTGAATGGAGTGAAACTAAAAGCAATTTCACTGGAACCAAACAAGGATGTTCACCATCTCCACTGCTATTTAATATAGTATTGGCAGTCCTAGCCATCACAATCAGACAAGAGTGGGAGATCAAAGAAATCCAAATGGGGACAGAGGAAGTCAAACTCTCCCTCTTCATAGATGGCATGATTATATACCTGGAAACCCCCCCCACAGACTCAGCTACAAAGCTCTTAGAAGTGATTTTGTATCTCAGGATACATAATCAATACTCACAAATCAGTAGCCTTCATATATGCCAACAATTGTTAAGCTGAAAAGAAAATCAAAAACTCTGTTCCTTTTATAATAGCACCAAAGAAGATGAAATACCTAGAAATATATCTAATAAAAGATGTGAGAGAGCTCTATAAAGAGAATCATGAAACTTTGAGAAAGGAAATAGAAGATGTCAACAAATGGAAGAACATACCTTGCTTTTGGATGGGAAGAATTAATGTTGTTAAAAGGTCCATACAACCCAAAGCAATCTACAGATTTAATACAATCCCCATCAAAGCATCAATGTCATACTTTAAAGAACTTGAAAAATTAGTACTTCAATTGATATGGAAGTAGGAAAAAAAACTGAATAGCAAATATAGTTCTTAGAAATAAAAACAAATCTGGACATCAAGTTGAGAGATTTCAGGTTATACTACAAAACTATAGTGATCAAACAGCATGGTACTGGCATAAAAATAGAACCATAGATCTATGGAATAGGAGAGAGAATCTAGAGATGAACCCAGCCACATATCATCATTTGATCTTCGTTAAGCCTAACAAAAACATACACTGGGGAAAAGAGTCCTTATTAACAAATGGTTCTGGGAGAACTGGTTATCTACATGTAGAAAACTGAAGCTGGACCCCACACCTCTCACAGCTAACAAAAATTGATTCTCTTTGGGTAAAAGATTTAAATTTAAGACATGAAACAACAAAAATTCTAGAAGAGAGTGTGGGGAAAATGCTTGAAAATATTGACCTGGGAAAAAACTTTATGAGGAAGACCCCCATAGCAATTGCAGCAACACCAAAAATAGATAACTGGGATTTAATCAAATTAAAAAGCTTTTGCACAGCTAAGGGTACCACAAACAAAGCAAACAGCCCTCAGAATGGGAAACGATTGTTGCATGTTATGAATCTGACAAAGGCCTGATAACTAGAATCTACAGAGAACTCAAACAATAAGAAAAGTACACACAACCCCCTCTGTAAGTGAGAAAGAGATTTGAAAAGAAACTTCTATGAGGATGACAGAGGAAAAGGCAACAAACACATGAAAAAATGCTCATCATCTTTAATCATCAGAGAAATACAAATGAAAACCACTCTAAGATAATACCTAATCCCAGCAAGATTAACCACATCACAAAGTCACAAAATACCAGATGCTGGCTTGGATGTGGAGAGAAGGGAACACTTCTACACTGCTGATGGGACTGCAAACTAATACAGCCTTTTTCAAGAGAATTATGGAGAATCTTTGAAAATCTAAAAGTAGACCTTCCATTTGATCCTGCAATCCCATTATTAGGTATCTACCCAGAAGAACAAAAATCATTTTACCACAAAGACATTTCATTTGCACAGAATGTTTATTGCAGTTCAATTCATAATGGCCAAGTTGCGGAATCAACCTAAGTTTCCATCAACCCATGAATCATGAATGGATCAACAAACTGTGGTAAAATGGGACAGAGCTGCAGAGATAAAAAGGTGGACCCCACTTTGATGTAATAACTAATAAAATTTATTATGCCTGCAGGTGGGCTGGATCACCACAGAGGTATTCAGCGCCAACTGGCAGGTGAAGTGCCTTTTTATACCATTATTTTGCAATGTCAGCAAGCTAGGGCAATACAGAAGCCAATCATAGCAGTTAGAGCAGTGTCACAAGGTGAGGGTACATATTGATTCAAACATTACAAGATACACATTACTTCCTCATCATAAGATGGGGTGCATCATAAGGGGTTACACAATTCAGGGTGGGGGTACATACTAACTTAAGATGCATTAACTCACAAATCATCAAATGAGGGGTATTGGGTAAATTTCCGAGAACAGCTTGGGCCTTAAACTACCCATGGCTCATCCCTGCCTCCCTTCCTTCCCATATCTTCTTGAGCTTCTTCCCAGATCTTAACTTCTCCTTCCTTGGGGGGAGGAGGGAGTGAGGCTAAAAGGCTTAGGAGAAGTTCTTTTTACAAGTATATGGGGTTTGTTGCATTTCTTACTAGTCCTGGGGGTTAGGGATTGGGGGCTCGGTTATTACAGTGGTATATGTATGCTATGGAATACTATTCAGCCAATAAAAAAGATGGAGACTTTACATCTCTTACATTTACCTGAATGGAGTTGAAACACATTCTTCTTATAAAGTATCACATAAATGGAAAAATAAATATCCAATGTACTCCATACTAATATGAAATCAATATATAAACAATTACATTCTGTGGTTAATCTTGCTGGGATTAGGTATTATCTTAGAGTGGTTTTCATTTGTATTTCTCTGATGAAACAGAGAAACAATTACAATAAAACACAAATATAGTCCAGTCTGCAGGTAGAGCAAGGAGGGGAGGGGAGGATGATTGGCAGAAGAAGAGAGGGCATGAGGCGGGATCTCACCTAATGTGCACATTATGAGGGTGTACAACCCAGGGTGAGTGGCTCTTTTACAAATGGAACTTTACCCTGGAAATGAGAACAATGTAACCTAAAAATTTGTACCCTCATATAAATAAGAAACAAATTTTTAAAAATTTAAGAGAGAGGGAAAAAAAACAAAATACCATAAACTACGTGGCTTACAAAAAGCAGAAATTGATTTCTCACAGCTCTAGACACTGGGAAGTCCAAGATCAAGGCACCACAGATTTGGTAGCAAGTAAGAATCAGCTTTATGGTCCATAAAGAGCAGCTTCTAGCTATGTCCTCACATGGTAAACAGGGATAACAAGTCTTGGAACCCTTTTCAATGGTACTAATTCTATAATGATCGCTAATCATGACCTAATCATCTCCCAAAGACCCCCACCATTTAATCACATTGGCCATTAGGTTTCAGCATATGAACACTGTTTGGGGGAACACAATAATTCAGAACATAATGGGGGCAATGTGACTGTAACCATAATCAATGCAACTTGAAGAGCTCTCTGTTTGGAGGTTAATGAAGCATCTTCCTCTTAAAGAATTTGCGGAGGCTTCTCTTTGGATTCTTGTCCTGTGTGTTTGCCTTGAGATTGAGAATCTATGTTATAGACAGTAAAATAGACTGTGTTCAGATATGGTCGCATTGATTTAACTTCTTTGGGGGTAAAAAAATGCATTGCTGATGGTCACCTTGTCTCAAATTGCAGATTACCGTATTTCGGATGGGATCAGAAGGACACCAGGACATTGATTTAGCTATCCTGACAGCTTTACTCAAAGGTAAAATGACTTTCTGTGTCCAAAAAGCACAGGAATAATTTAACTAGACTAACACAGTAACTTATGTCTTTTGATAGTGGTTATAATACCAAATGATACTACAACACATTAAGTTATTGAGAACCTAAGGACTTCTCCTATAAAACACTGTTATTGCTATTAAATTTTCCTATAATAGGTATTTTATAGTGTGACTCAATTTTATAAGATTTAAATATACTATAATTCAAGTCATGTGCATTAAATTATATATAAAACAAAAAGCTGACATAGTACGTAAGACACAAATTATCTGAGGTTACTCAATAATAATGATTACCTTATCTACTGTCAAAAATCACTTGATATGGCATATGTGTGTGTATATATATGCTCTCTCTCTCTCACACACACACAATACATTAAAACTGGAAAATCAAACACCACTGAGAAGAAGGAAGAAAGAAAGAAACCAGGCTGGGTGTGATAGCTCACGCCTGTAATCCTAGTACTTTAGGAGACTGAGGCAGGTAGGCTGCTTGAGCTTAGGAGTTTGAGATCAGCCTGAGCCAAAGCAAGACCCTGTCTCTACTAAAAATAGAAAAACTAGCCGGGCATCATGGCAGGCACCTGTAATACCAACTATTTGGGAGTGATGAGCCCAAGAATTTGAGATTACTGTTAGCTATGACATCACAGCATTCTACCCAGGGCCACAAAATGAGATTATCTCAAAAAAAACAAAGGAAAAGAAAGAAACCAAAAAAATTGGGTTATTGTACTTCTTACAGTTGAGCATTAAATTTAACTTTAAGCTTCCTGGAAGTCAAGGCAAAAATGGAAATACTCTGGCTTGTAGTATTTTCATTTGTAAGGTAGGTATTTGTCCTATTCTCCAATCCCAGTATTACCAAGATGTCTCACTGAAGGTCCTCACAAGCCACATCCAAGAGCAATTTCATCTAGGTTCTGCAAATCAAATCCTAGCCTTAATGTGCCTTTATAAGAATATTATAATCAACTAATAATAATTTTTGGTGTTAAACAAGAGGAAGTTGCCCTTCAGTAGTAAAATTTAAATAGAAGTATAAAACATAACAAAACCACGCACCTTGCTGAATGTAGTGCTGGGTTAGAAATGTCCCTCCCATTCTCCCTCGGGCCCCCAGTTTGTCTGCTGCAGTGTCACATGGTCAGTCACTACCTGTGCCTCATCTCAGAGACTGTGAACTCTGGAGTGGCGGTGGGGGGCAGAGAATGGATCTTGTGCGTTACCACAACCTCTGTGCTTTGCACAATCCTTAACACGTGACAGCATTCAATCATTGTTTTTAATAAAGAAAGAATGAATGATTTTTCAAGGATTCAGGGACCGCTACAGCATTCCAAAATTAAAACTCATTTCATTTTCTCTTCCAGTCTATATACTCTTCTTCTACTATTAGTATTTCCTGCAGGCCCCAGCATGTAGTAGCCACCAAGCTCTTACAAATGCTGTAAACGTTAATTATTCTAACAACTATAGCTTAATCTCCACTTTGCATAGAAACTGGAGGTACAAGAAATGGTAGCTTGCTAAAAGTTACAGTGCTAAACAGTTAGCCTGGACTTAGGTCCAAGTCTATCTAACTCTTCCCCATACCACGTGGCTCCTTTGACAGTAGTGTCTGTCTGTCATTTCCATGCACAGGAGCCATCAACATATGTCTCCCCAAACACATATGTGCCCATTCATTCAAAATCCTCATTGCATTTCAGGAGGTTCACAGTCTCATGAATTGTATCTTATATCCCAGGTTGAAAGACTCTTCTCTACGCATTTCATTCCAGTGAACTAAAAACTATAAACACTGGACGGTAGGAATTAAGGGACCAGGACTGTGCATGGGCTGAGCCACAAAGGTATATACTATGGGCTCTGCTCTCCCCTTATCAGAGACAAAAAGTTCAAGACAAGCAACTCTATGTTATTTGCTATTCTCAAATAAAGACTTTAAAACGTAATTATGTTGGTAACTAACATTTACTAAGGACTTGTTATGTGCCAAATACTGGGTTTGATACATTCCATGTGTAATTTTTTTTTTTACTTTCTACAATAGTTTAATTGTTATGAACATTTTTCAGTTTTTAAAGCCCCATTTTACAGATGAGGAATTTAAGGGACAAAGCAGTTTATTGACATGCCCCAGACACGGTGGCTGGTAAATGGTTGAACAGTCTGACCACGTAGTCCTCACTTACATATGACGCCCCGGTGTCTCATTCCCACTGATAACGGGAAATGAAGCACCACGTTCATGACCTTGGCAGAACTTAGAGCAAATGAGAGAGTGAACAACTGTTACTAAAAATCTATTAGTTCTTGTAATATCGTCTGTTGAAAATAATCTCTTCTTCTTTCACTAATTTGTGAGACTAAATCATATTTGATCTTTGAATCAGTCTCAGAATTTATTTGTTGTGTTATAGAATAGTTGTTTTCCAACTGTTTTGAGCATGATGCATGACATGAAATACAGATAAAGTACACTAAGGAATATTTACATTGACAATATGTGATGAAATTGGAGGTTTTCTGTTCTAATCTCTTCTATTCTTTTTAAGGCTGATTATATCCCACTAAATTGATTTCACGATCTACTAATGGGTCATAACCTGCAGTTTAAAAAACACTGCCATAGAAGATTAAAGAAAATTATGATTGCTTTATGAAATTAACATTTCTAATCACTATGATGAATATTATTTATGTAGCAGTTGATGCTAATGGGAATTCATGCCATTAAAAGATTATGATGTGTCCACTCCATTTTGTGAAGGCTTTAAAATGCTCTCAAATGTTGACCCAGTTGATTTGTGAAGGGTATCAGTGTGATACATTTGCTGACTTCTTTGGAGGCCAAGAGCATACTCATAGCAGTTTCAAACTCTTAAGTGTGTGGAATTATTCAACCTATGTGTTTTTTTAAAATTAAGCTTGGGCATGTAGCATAGCTTAACATTTAATTTTGTAATTATATTTACTTTTGAATTATCTAATACATGGAGAACCTTTGTACAGTTCAGTTTTCATTCTGAGAAATGTCTGGGAAAAAACAGAGGTTAGGAGTGGGATAGAGTTATCCATTGGTTCATAAATCCAAAGGCTAAAGACAGGAAATCAGGAGGCTTTGGGGGAAAATACAGCTTTTCTGCTCCTTGCTTCTGATTCCATTGGCTTTAAGATTCATAAGGAGCCAGATATTGTATATTAGAGTATACTATTTGTGTGATACAGACTTATTAAGTGTCTGTTCAGAAATGAAGAAAGAATGAAACAAAAAGATTATTGTTTCGGAGATGTAAGAGACTCATAGTTCCACTTGAGAATAAGAAATGTCATATCTGTCCTTCATGCTAAGGTGACTGCTCAATGGGGATGGTGGTCTGAGGCCAGAGAGTGTGCACCCTGCTCCTCCATCAGCCCTCTTCTGCTCCTGGCCCCCATACTCTGGAAGCCCCCAAAATAGGATATCCAATTATCTTTGAATTTTCAGAAAAACAACAAATAATTTTTTAGCATAATCATGTCCCAAATGTAACATACTTATACTAAAAAAAAAACTGCTTGTTATTTTCATGAAATTTAAACTTAACTGAGAGTGTTATATCTTTATTTCCTAAGTCAGACTATTCTACTCAGAGGAGGTCTACCATTATTGTGGGGGCAGAAAGAGGGTGATCCGTTTTCTCCCTACTGGGGAGAACAACACCTCTCAAACAAAGACTGGTTAACAAGAGAAAAGCATAACAAATTTATGTGATCATAGTCTTATAAGACACAGGAGCCTTCAGAATGAGGATCCAAAGATACAGAGAAATCTGTCTATTTTTATGCTTAGGTTCAGTGAACCATGGGCAACTGTGTAGAAATCTGATTGGATGAAAAAGGTGTGAGCTAATTAATGGTAATAGACTGAGTGGGGAAACTCAGCAAGGCCTATCCCTTCAGATTCTTCTTGGCCTCTCTGTGTAGCCTTAGGGTCTTAATTTCTTCATGATCGCCTGTTATAAGGGAAGTGGGGGAAGGAGAGGAGGAGGGTCAGAGTCATACTTCTAAGTTTGACCACTGGCTTCAGGGAAAAGGGTTCTGGTTTTTGTGACTCATCTTGGGAAAGAGAGACTCCAGTTTCTATTCCTTTATCCAGAGGAAAATGAGGGATGACAGGCAGGAGGGCAGAGAAAAACTCTGCTTCTGAGGCCTTCAAGTTGGATATTCTTTTCTGAGCTCCAACACCATTAATACTTGTAGCCCTCAAAACTTAATAGTTCCTGTGGGAACGGTAACTCAGGAATCTAGGGGAGTTCCCTATTCCTTCTGTCCACCTCTTCCTCTCAGCCAGCCCTGCCTTAATCATAGCAACCAGAGAAGACTTCCACTGGAGAGCGCCTTAAACATATTTTAATAAACTATCCAGTGCTCATCAACCTGTTCTTTCAGGAGTCTCATCCTATCTGCATCCCTCACACAGTAGCATCAACCTCTTGCTCCAGACTCAATAAAGCCAGAAAACATCTACTCACAGCAAATGAAGTTATTATAGGTAGCCGCTGGACCCTTTCTATGCATGAAATTGCCATCAATTGTTTTCATCTTTTCTTGTAGACCTTGGATTCAGTGTAAAGTTAAATCACATGAGTGTACACACTTTCGTCCTTTGACATGCATTAAAGTGTGATATCTGATGCTTACTGTCCTCCGTAACTGAGAAAGTCTTTTCCTTTGGGTTTAATCTTCACTGGAGTCTATCTGGGGCTTGGGGTTAAAGAAACCTTTATTTGTTTTTTGTTTTCTGGAAAGCATTTTAAAAGAGCTAAAAGAGAGCCCCCAAATAATATGTTCCTTCTCAAAGCTGTCAAGGTCATCAAAAACAAGGGCAGTCTAAGAAATTGTCACAGCCTAGAGGAACCTAAGGAGCTATGATGACTAAATGTAACATGGTTTCCTAAATGGAATCCTGGAGCAGAAAAAAGGAGGG